TAACTCAGTTGTTAACACCTAATTACCTGCTATAGATCTAGTTTCGTTGCGTGGTGGACAAATTTGATGGACATAAAACCAACAAAAAAAATTACATTGTACCATTAAACAAAGTATGCAACTATTGTCCAATAGAGATCAAGCCGGTATGTCAGTCTTAGAAACTCGCCTCATTAATTTGAGATGAAGAAATTAAAACATGTAAGTGTTATCAATGATTAATCACCCATCAATTACTTTGAAAAAAACAATTTTTTGATTTTGATACAGCATTAATTTGTTTTTCAGAAATATATATATCAATACACCATACAGCAATGGTGAGAGTAAACAGACTCATCATTCAGAGTAACAAGTTTCAATCCAAAACATGTTAATGCATAATTTTTTTGAAATGAATTTTCAGCCGCTCACCTTTGAAAACGAAAACTTCCCTGAGTAGTTAGAAGACCAAAATCGCGAAACTGATTCGAACTTTCTCTGCAAATCAAGGAAGAATGCAAAACAGCTAGTATTAGATTGAATAGGAAAATTATCGCTGAAAAGTAATCATTGTAAACCTAATAAGGATGGAACTTACATTACAGCTTGCCCATAAGATATCTCAAAAAATATTTGAGCTCACATATCATTGATAAGAGTTTGGTGGTTTTAATTTCTCTTTCCTCGATTTTTAAAACGGCTTCAAGTTATAGAAGTGACGATCATGTTGCATCTCTTTCCAATATCAACATATTATTCAGTAAACAAGCGGCGAGAAAACTTATCAGCTGAGGGTTTTTTCTTAATACAACATTAACGTCTCCCTACTGACTAACAAGGTAATGTGAGGGAGTTCTAAGGAAGAATTGCTGATGAGATCATAAATTCAAAAGGTTAAGATGATGTAAACCTCAAATACTTTGCAATCAAATCAAAACTTGATTCGACTTTGGAAGTCGAACCAGGTGTAAAGATTGAGTTTGATTTGTATAGATTAAAGAAAAAAGCTGTTTAGGAACCTGAAAATCAATCGCTCATCATCTTCTCCATAAATTAAGCGCTCAGGGTTCAAACAGACTATATTTCCCCGGCTTGAATTAATTTGAAATTTAGCAATAATGCGTGATTTGTATATACTCTGCGTTACAACTGACACTGAAAAAGACGAGCCGGGACAAACGGAGATTTTATGACAAGAGGATTCTCTGCTCATATGATGAGCATTTTCATGAAAAAAACAATTCAATTTCGAATGGCCTTATTTTACCCATTTTTACATTGGAAACGCTTACAACGGTTACCATCTTTCTAAATCTGAAAACTTGTTTTGCCGAAGATAACTGACCCCACGCGTAAAACGCAAAGTGCACATCGTGTTCATGCATCTCATGACGTTTTTGGGCACAGATTGGGCATGTCTGTTTCATTAAATTCACACAAGCGTTTTGATTGTTATCCAACTTCTGGATAGGTATAAAAGAAACGAACTAGATCCAACACGTCAGAAGTACTGATGTTAATGCGTCAGGTATTTTTTATTCAGGGAATTCGAAGAAAATTTTGAAAAAAAAGGGAATCTATTAACGCTTTCCCAGCAAAACAGAGATGAATGACAATCTGACAAGAATGAAAAAAAAGTAACACCTTCATCGATAAAACTAAAAATCGTTTAGAAAACCTAAAACACGACCACGTCCCGTAATTTAAATAAAAAACATGGCAACTTCATGTTATTTTTTTAAAAAGATTTCAGATTAAACAATCTGATTTTTCCGTTCATGCATCGTGTGTCTGCTTTTATTCTTTCACTCCCGGACTCAACACTTAAGAATTGTTTAACTTGTAATTTCTCCCCACATCTTCAATATATTCTTCAGCCATCAGTTTTGGAGAATAAAGAAACTTATCAGCTGGATGGTGTCAAATTGACGCAACACTTCATTCTCTAAAAATATTTATTGTGATATTTGTAACATTTGCAAAGAAGACTTAGTAAGATGGAAGTTGAAGGCCTGAAGTTGAGTTCATCGTTTTATTTCGCAGACTATGATCAGTTTAAGTCAATTGTTTATAAAAAATAAATCTTTGCCAAAATCTAAGATTATTTCGAGGTTTAAGTCCTCTGCCTTTGAATATCCGGTGCAAAACATTTCAGTTTTGCAAGGCGGGAAAGATTGTTTCCAAATTTATTATTTTACTACTAACCTTTTACACAAGAAGCTTGTCTTGTTTGATATTCTAGTCGTATGACTGATGAAACCAAAAGTAAGAAACTGAAATAACAGTTTCTCTGCAAAACAAAGATAAATGCAAATAGTTATTGTAAGAAAGTCGTAAAAACTTCTGTAAAATAGAAGTAAAATAGGCACAAAAAAATTGATGAACCGAAGAGGGAAAAACGGTTACCAACATTAAAGATTGAATTCGATTTGTAGATAAAAAAGAGCCGCTTAGGAACCTGAAATCAATCGCTCATCATCTTCGCCATAAATTAAGCGCACAAGGTTAAATTATCACACAAACTA